GGAATGTGCTATTTGTTTGAATGTATTCTGATCACTTTCATTTCATCCAAAAGAGCCTAGAAAGAGTTAGCTGTGGTGACTCATACCCATAGATCTAGGCAAAGTGCTTGTTTACTAGATGGGCTGTGTTTGAAGTCAGAACCACGGCCAGCATAACTGATAAAAACACAGGGAGCAAATTAACGTTGCCCATTTTGGAACTGTTTTAATGTTCTGGGTCTCTCATATAAAAGGTCTATCAACTATTAAAAGTTGCATCTTTTATATGTTTCCAAAATCACAAGTTATAGTTAAAATAATATTCTATAACCGCTGGTGCCTTTCTTATCTAACCGAAAAAAAAAAACCCTGGGTATATAAATGGGCAAGTTTAAGTGCACATATAGGATGTTTGAAAGGAATTTAAATGGGAAATGTTAAACATGCAGCTTAACAGCATACTTTCCTCAGTTAAATCATTTGTATCCATTTTCAAAAGCACAAAATCAAACTTTAGTTTTAACTCTCTTCTGCTTAATTTTCAATGTCATCTCTAATACTGAGGAATGGGTGTAACGCTGCGATTGCTTTAACAGATTCGTGTTTTACAAGTTAAAATTTTTCTTCCAAGATCAGAACATGGAAGTCAAAAATATGAATTGGTAAAGCGGTAACTCTGGATTTAAACACAGTTCTTCTTATAAAGATTTTAATTTTTTTTCAGAAATAAAACATAATTAAAATTTAAATATAGCAAAAACTACAGGAGGTACAATTCTGTTAATGATTTCTCTCACTTTAGAAAGTATCACATGAGCTGATGAAAATTTTGCCTTTAATTAATAGTGTAAGGAGAGGAAATACGATCAATTAAACTCTATTAACTTTATATATTGTTTTAAGAAATGACAAGTGCTTTCAACTATATTACCTCAGATTATAAATTTAAATACACCAAACAATTGTGTGGGACGAAATTCTAATTTGTTTCCCAGTTGAATACCAACCACAAATTGCTTACTAGATTTAAAGATACAAAATTATCAACAGATATAAAATTAGAAAATGAGAGGGGGAAAAAAGATCAAAAAAAGTAAATATCCTAATGAAGAAAAAAAAGAACATATTGAGTAGAGATGAAAATTATCTACCCCAAAGATTAGACAAACACTATTATTTGGTTGTAGGAGAGCCTGTTACGGAAAACAAAACAAGCCCAGTAGATGGACATAATAAAACAAGTAGAACACCTCACGGAATCTTGACACACTTAAAGTCCACAAGTTATTGAATTGCCTGCCAATCCCATAAAAGTTTGATTTAGTTCACAGTGGCTTCGGTTCCACAGGTGTGTCGGGGGGAGCTCCCCGGGGCCGGGCTACAAATCTAAAGCCTCCTGAATCTTCACCCCCATGAGGATGAAGGGCATCTAGAAGGTCCAGCTATGAGGTAACCCCAAGGAAGGAGCACTGGTCGCCTTCACAGACACATGTCTGTTTCCTTAAGAAGAACGGAGGCAGTCTGGGTCCACGTTTTTTGACTGCCTTACAGAAACTCACTTAAAATAGTTTTCTACAGAATGGGCATTTGTTACAGGGATATAAGTGTATAGGGCTCCTCAAAGGGCATCCAAAGACAATGATGGGATTGGTTATGGAAGCTGAGACTAAGTATTTAGAAAGTTGTATAGTGTTTTGTCTGCTGATTCTTTTTAAAAATCTAGTATTAGTTTCCTATGGCCATTGTAACAAACTGCCACAAATTCGGTGGCTTGAAACAACAGATCTATTGTCTCGTAGTCCTGGAGGCCACTCCAGCCGTCTTCTTCCAGGAGGGCCTTGAGTTAGTGAAGCATCTTAGCCAGCATAGCAGAGAGCAGGAAGTGCTCGAGAGTTCTCCATCACCACTGCCTCCCAAGATGGCAATAAGCCAAGCACTGATTAGGGAGGGAGTATGGAGCCGGCAACGTTGCCTTGAGTCAGGACAAACAGTGCATTGTAAGTCACATTCCAAAATTCCCCTGCTGCATAAGGCTATCACCACCCTTGCTTGAAATAGCACCCTTGCCACTTACCTTCCCCCTCTTGCTTCCCTTACTCCCTCACCAGTTTAGCTGGGAGCACTCTCTTAATAAATGGCTTGCATATGAATCCCTTGCTTAATGTCTCCTTATATTGAAGAAAGTGACCTAACACGTAAGGCATTTCACAGACATCATGTTTAATCTCCCCTTAGACTGGGAAACCCAACCTAAGACAGAAGCTATCTCATACAAGCCACGGCGAGAGGAGCATCCAAACCTCATTGAAGAACCAGAACCAAATTTCCCACTTCTCTCTCTGGGCCTCCCGAGCCTCGTGAGCTATTGTTTTTGCAGGTCTGTTTTATTTTTGGCTCTGCATACATCTAACTCTGAAGACTTTATTATTTATGACCATAACTTTCAACCTGACTTTTTGGTCTCTATAATTTTCTTCTACTGAATATAGTAACTCTCCACAATCTGTTAATGACTTTTATAACAGTTTTATATAAAGGAAGCTTATTTCAATGGGCTTTAATAGAAAAAAAAAGGATCACTCCACAGCTGTAGAGATTATAACACTCTTCATAGTGATAAGCGAGATTAATTATTTCTCAGTCTCATTCAAGTGTGGAATAAAGGGGGAATCTGATTGACCCCGATTATATTGAGGTAATATAATGATATTATATTGATCCTAACACCAGTCATGATCAGTGTATAGTATACAAATAACTGTCAAGCTTAATCCCTTTAACAAAGTTCTTCCTTTATAAGAAAAGAAGTGCATGCTAAAAAGAATAAAATAACTAGGAGTTAACCAAGGAGATGAAAGACCTTTACTTGGAAAATTATAAAACACTGCTGATAGAAGTTAATGAGGACACAAACAAATGGAAAGATAGTCCATGCTCCAGGCTCAGAAGAATTAATATTGTCAAAATGTCCATATTACCCAAAGCAATCTACAAATTCAATACAATCCCCATTCCAATACCAACATCATTTTTCACCAAACTAGAATAAATAATAGTAAAATTTGCATGGAACCACAAAAGATCCCAAATAGCTAAAGCAATCTTAAGAAAGAAAAACAAAGCAGAAACAAAACAAATGTGGAATTACAATTCCACATTTCAGGATATACTACAAAGCTGTCGTGATCAAAACAGCATGGTATTGACCCAAAAATAGACCCATAGATCAATGGAAAAGAATAGAGAGCCAAGAAATAAATCCGTGCTTATATGGCCAATCAATCCACAACAAAGGAAGGAAGAATACACAATCAGGAAAAGGCAGTCTCTTCAATAAATGGTGCTGAGAAAACTGGGCAGCTAAGTGCAAAAGAATGAAACAGGACCGCTTTCTAATACCATACGCAAGCATAAACTCAAAGGGGCTTAAAGACCTAAATTTGAGGCCTGAAACCATTAAAATCCTAGAAAACAGGCAACAATTTCTCTGACATCGAGTGTAGCAACATTTTTTTTTTGATATGTCTCCTAATGCAAGGGAAATAAAGCAAACAAACTATTGGGACCACATCAAAATAAAAAGCATTTGTACAGCCAAAGAAACCATCAAGAAAACAAAAAGGCAACCTACTGAATGAGAGAAGGTATTTGCAAATAAACAATAAGGAGTTAACATCCAAAATATATAAAGAATGTACACACTAAACACCAAAAGTCAAACAATCTGATTAAAAAATGGTCAGAGGACCTGAATAGACTTTTTGCAAAGAAGACATTCAGATGGCCAGCAGACACATGAAAACACGACAACGTCACCCATCATCAGGGAAGCGCAAACCAAAACTATAATATCACCTCACATCTGTCAGAATGGCTAAAACCAAAGCCCACAAGAAATAACAAGTATTAACGAGAATGTGGAGAAATAGGAACCCTGTGTCCTGTCGGTAGAAATGAAAACTAGTGTGGCCACTGTGTAAGACAATAAGGAAATTCTTCAAGAAATCAAAAATAAAACTACCTACCCTATGACCCAAGCCATCGTGCTATTGGGTATTTACCCAAAGAGAACAAAAGCATGAATACACAGGGATGCCTGAACCCCCATATTTATTGCAGCATTACTTTGAGTACCCGAGCAATGGAAGCAGCCCAAATGTCCATGGACTGATGAATGGATGGAGAACATGTGGGGGGGGTGTATGGCTGTGTATAGATAGGAATATCCTACATATATTCCGTACATAATACTCCTATATGTATGGGAATACTGCCCCAAACATAAAAGGGCATGAAATCTTGCCATTTGCAACAACGTGGACAGAGCTAGAAAGTATAAGGTTAAGGGAAACGAGTCAGCAGAGAAAGACAAATACCATAGGATCTCACTCACGGGTGAAATTTAAGAAACAAAATAAATGAACAAATTAAAAGAGAGAGAGAAACCAAGAACCAGATTCTGAACCACAGAGAACAAACTGAGGGTTACCAGAGGGCCGGGTGGAGGGATGCGAGATGGTGAGGGGCAGCAAGAGGTCACTAATGTTAGGGCGCCGAGGAGCGCAGGGACCCGCTGACCCTGTGCGGCGCACCTGACGCCAGTCACCTGTCCACACCCGCGACAAGAAGCGTAAGTGTGTAAGTGCGGCGCACGGATGCTTGGCCAAAAGACAGACCAGAATGATCTGTTCTTTCTAGAGTAAAAAGAAAGAAAAAGAAAGTCTTCACAGAAATAACCTTAAACGTGGACTTGAAGAATAAATAAAAGTTCCCCCGCGGGCAAGCGGGGTGTGGGTGGGAGCTTGTGCCGAGCAAACGGCGGAACCCGGTCCGTCCAAGCTTCTCAGGAAGCTCAAAGGAGCAGAAACTCATTTGCTGGGTTTTGTTGTTGTTGTTGTTGCTGTTTTCGTTTTTGTTTTTGTTTTTGTTTTCCCCATCCTCAGTGTTTGCCATAAGGCTGGTCATGCAGCAGCTGCTCGGGGAGGAATCGTCCGGAAACTAAGCGCGTCCGGAGCTGCTGGATGGGGGCGCGCAGCAGAAACCACAGAGGGAAGGACGGTGGGGACGCGGGCGACGCGAGCGAGGGCCCAGGGGACACAGAGCGAGCCTCGGGCAGCCCCGCAGCCGTGGGGAGCAGAGCGGGCACCCCCGAGGGCAGGGTGCGGAGCGGAGGGGTCCCTGCGAGGGAGGCGGGCCCGGGGGGCTCTGGGAGCAAGGACCCAGCGCAATGGGGACCCTCTCATTTAGGAGAAAGGACACGACGGGAAGAAGACAGACGTGCAGGAATCACGGAAAGCGCCATCTCAGGCCCATTAATCTTGAGGCGCGGGTGCGAGCTGCGGCGGGCGAGGCGCTGCGACCCCCAGAAGGGGCGGCGGCCCCGGGAAACCTGCCCTGAGCCGGACTCCCGCCACCCCGCCCCGGCTGGAAGGATTCGGTTCGCAGGAAAAGGCCGAGACGACGATTCCCGGAACGCGCAGGGCAGACACCCCGGAGCGCGGAGAGGTCGGGGCCACTGAGACCCCGGCACGCGGGGGCCGGGAGCCTGGGACCGGGAGGGGGCTGCCGGGCCGCGCGCCCTCGGCTCCCCGTGTCACCGCCCGCGGGAGCCTGGGACCACCACCTGGAACCTGCACACCGGGCGGTGACGCCACGGCCCTGGGACCCGGAGGCCTGGGGCAGGGCCAAGCCGAGTGGTGGGGCGACTCCCCGGACACAGCCCGCCGGCTCCCGGACACACCCCACCGGCTCCCCGGACACACCCCACCGGCTCCCGGACACAGCCCACCTGCACCCCGGACACAGCCCACCGACTCCCCGGACACACCCCACCGACTCCCCGGACACACCCCACCGACTCCCCGGACACACCCCACCGACTCCCCGGACACACCCACCGACCCCGGACACACCCCACCGACTCCCCGGACACACCCCACCGACTCCCCGGACACACCCCACCGACTCCCCGGACACAGCCCGCCGGCTCCCGGACACACCCCACCGGCTCCCCGGACACACCCCACCGGCTCCCGGACACAGCCCACCTGCACCCCGGACACACCCCACCGACTCCCCGGACACACCCCACCGACTCCCCGGACACACCCCACCGACTCCCCGGACACAGCCCACCGACTCCCGGACACACCCCACCGACCCCGGACACACCCCACCGACTCCCGGACACACCCCACCGACTCCCGGACACACCCCGACCCGGACACCCCACGACCCGGACACACCCCACCGACACCCCGGACACACCCCACCGACTCCCGGACACACCCCCGACCCGGACACACCCACCGACCCCGACACACCCACCGACCCGGACACACCCCCGACCCGGACACACCCCACCGACACCCCGGACACACCCCACCGACTCCCGGACACACCCCACCGACACCCCGGACACACCCCACCGACTCCCCGGACACACCCCACCGACTCCCGGACACACCCCACCGACTCCCCGGACACACCCCACCGCTCCCGGACACACCCCACCGACACCCCGGACACACCCCACCGCACCCGGACACACCCCACCGTCTCCCGGACACACCCCACCGACACCCCGGACACACCCCACCGACACCCCCGGACACACCCCACCGACTCCCGGACACACCCACCGACCCCGGACACACCCCACCGACTCCCCGGACACACCCCACCGACACCCCGGACACACCCCACCGACTCCCCGGACACACCCCACCGACACCCCGGACACACCCCACCGGCTCCCGGACACACCCCACCGGCTCCCCGGACACACCCCACCGGCTCCCCGGACACACCCCACCGACTCCCGGACACACCCCGCCATCTCCCCGGACACACCCCACCGACTCCCCGGACACACCCCACCGACACCCCGGACACAGCCCACCGACACCCCGGACACACCCCGGACACACCCCACCGACACCCCAGACGCACCCCACAGACACCCCGGCTCCCCCTCCGACGAGTTAAACCAGCGTAAGCGCGGCATCGATCCCAAGGTAAAATCCACCCGAGCGAACGTAAAGCAGAGTTTCGAAGTGGCTTTGGGTGAACAACCTCAAGGTTCCGCCTCCCAACGTTTCCTTCAAAAGACAAAAGCGCGTAATTCTCATTTGCTGTCGGGGCTGCGGTTTCAGTTTGCGAAACTAAATGAGAAGACAGGGGACGTAATGAGAGATCCTGAAATCAAGCACGGGGGATGGGGGGGACGGGGGGATGGGGGGTGGGGGGATGGGGTTGGGGGGACGGCGGGATGGGGGGTGGGGGGATGGGGATGGGGGTCGGGAGGACAGGGATGGGGGACAGGGACGGGGGTGGGGGCGGGGGGATGGGGACTTGGGGATGGGGATGGGGGGATGGGGGCGGGGGACAGGGATGGGGCTGGGGATGGGGGGGCGGGGGTGGGGGACAGGGATGAGGGGCCGGAGATGGGAGCCGGGGATGGGGGGACAGGGGCAAGGAGTTGGGGGGTGGGGGATGGGGGATGGGGACAGGGACGGCGAGACGGGATTCAGGGGGCAGGAGGCCAGGGGGATGGGGCAGGATCGCACGGCGGGGGACCTGCGTTAGCTCTGCACTGAGAAATAAGGGGTGGGGGTGGCAGGCCGGGGGGTGTGGGAGGATCCGCCCTCCCAGACCGCATAGACCCGGGAATGCAGGTCTGTGAGGCGTGCGGTCAGCTGGAGAGAGAAGGATCAGGGAGGAGGTGGCAGGTGCACCAGCTGCCACCAAATGACTTGAAAATGGCTCATTTTAGGTCATGTGAATTTTACTTCAATTTAAAAAAAAGTGGGGGGCGAAAGGGAGGGCCTGCAAAGCTCGCAGTCAGGGTCAGGACAGGCGACACGCGCCTGCCAGCCCTGGGCCACCTGCTCTGAATCCCTGACCCGAAGCAAAGCCGAGAGGGGCTGTGGGTCAGTCTTCGAAGGCGGCGTACAGAAGAGGCATGTTGCAGGCGACAGTGTGCGCACAGGGGACACCAGGTGGGGGGGGGTGGCGGGCTCCCCTGGAGGGGAGAACCAGGCCTGGTGACCGGTGATGGGGGAGACGGTCGGTCGTTTCCTTTGTGCCTGAGCAGAGAGCATGCGAGCACTTCCCAGGGTGTCGAGGTCACGAGGAAGGACCCCTTGGCAGGAGGCTCTGACCCTAGTGACCCGGCGGCTCGACGCGAAGCCTGGGGTTGCCCCAGGACGGCTCAGCGACTCGCAGCGCGGGCTGCTCCGCGGGAATCGGACCCGCGTGTTGGGCCTGGGACGTGAACCCCGAGTGGGGATGGAGAGGGGCATCTGGGCACCCCAGCATCTGCCCAGAGCCCCAGTCCCGGGCCCTGCATCCCGACCCTGCACCCCGGACCCTTCACCCCAGGCCCTGCGTCTCAGGCCCTGCACCCGGACCCTGCACCCCAGACCCTGCGTCTCAGGCCCTGCACCCCGGACCCTGCACCCCGGGCCCTGCACCCTGGACCCTGCGCCCCGCCGGGCCCTGCACCCTGGACCCTGCGCCCCGCCGGGCCCTGCGTCTCCGGCCCTGCGCCCGGGGTGCAGCGCCAGGGAGAACGGGGTCCCGCAGGGCGCGGCGGAGCGCAGGAAGCCGCCGGCTCCCAGGTCGCACTGCCCCGGACTCGAGTCCATCCTCCGCGGCAAGGATTCGCTCTCGTCCTTTGGAGAAGTTTGCAAGTGAGGACAAACCGAGGAGCCGGAGAAAGCCACTGACCAAACGTAGGAACTTGTCACTTAGTCCCCGGTCACCTCGCCGGGGCTTTTACTCCACGGGCTGCGCTGGAAGCGGGCGAGGACCAGTCGCGGACGCCGAGGGCTACTTTAAGGGATTAAGAACAAAAATGAGTCATCTGATCATGGTGTTGACTTTGGGCGACTCCTAATAAATCTTCTGAGTGCTTCTCTCAGCCCTAACGTCCACTTCCACGCCGTGCATTGGGTTAGGCTGTTGGTGGAGCGACTAGCTGCCCGGCCGGAGGCCTCGCCGAGGAGCCTGCACCTGCAGAGGCCCAGAGAATCCTTGGAATAACTTTGCAACATACATTCCTCTCCGCCCTTGACCTCACCATGGCCATGAAACCACTTCTGCGGATCTAAGAGCCTGACACTTTCCAGTTTCTAACCAGGCACATGAAATGTAAGTAATAATAGATAAAAAGCTACTTTAAGAAACACAGATTTATTAATTAAAACGGATTTTTTTTCTTACTAATTATTTGAATTATTTAGTATCTTCCATCCGGCTCACTCCAAAGAGGTCTGATACTTATTTTTAGTGAAAGGGATTTTATCCTTTGTCGCTTCTGGCCACCTTGCCGCTGCGCTTGGCTGGGGCAGTGGGCAGCTAAGGCAGGAAGATACTGGCCACAGAGAGGACAAAAAAGGGCCCGGGAATCCATCAACCCTAGGCTTCAACTTGCTGCGAAAAGTGGAAAGTGTGTGCTGGGGGCACAAGCAGACTCTGAAAATGATCAGGCTCGGCAAAGCGAACCTGGTCACCCTCTCCAACAGCTGCCCAGCCTTGAGGAAATCTGAAACAGGAAAGTGCACCCTGTTGGCCAAAACTGGTGCCCATCACCACAGCGGCAGTGGGAAATACTGCAGTGGGCACAAGGCCACCATCGACCCAGGTGATTCTGGTATCATCCAAAGCATGCCAGAGCAGACTGGTGAAAAGGAAATCATGCGAAATTTTTCTTTAATAAAACTGGCCTGAATTTATATTTTAAAAAATCAAAAATAAGTAATACCTGAGTTTTAAAAATTAAAAAGCAGAACAAAGCATTAAATAATAGCTGCCAATATAATTGACTACATCACGGAAAATAATTTTTATCTGAATGAACCTATGATCAACCACTGAGGGTCCATTCTAGAAAGTGAAATTCTAGAGTCTCTTATTTTTGCTTTCTAAACCACACAATTCGCTGTCTGAAAATTATATAGAAGGACCATAATATATCAGCACTTTAAGTAATTCCTAGAGGAAGCAACAAAGACATTTTAATACTTGCAGGGGAAATGCAGCAAATGAATTATGCAAGTTAATTATAGTTTAGATTTCTTACCCCCCCCCCATAATTTACAAGAGAGTCAGAATCTATTTATTTTATTAAATGAACATTAGCATGAGTGCTCTTACACCATTATGAATGTGAATGAACGCACTGGGGGTGGTGATTAACACTGTGATCATGAAAGCCCACAGCAGAAAAACACCTTCCGAGGTTTTCCAATTTCACTTTTTCCTAATTCTGGCACTGTGGAGAAAGGGATGCATGTAAGTCACTTTGTAAAAGGTATACAGCCTCCTCTCCGGTGCAAAACATGGAACCAGGAAAACAAAGCAGCTTGTTAACCATTTTCAAGACAGGCCTAAGAAAAAAATTGAAATGTATTGATAGATGAAGTTGGATCTTTAGGAATCACTCCTTTTGTGAACTTCCACGTGGCAAGTTTCTGGTCCTACAAAGTAGAAGATAAGACTTTCAACCTTTAATAAAAGCCATTATTTTAATGCATTTGGGAATCCAGCCAACCTTCCTCTATTTAATAATTACAATAATAAAAATAATAACAAACACATATATCACTTACTATGGACAATTTAATCTTCACATCAACCCAACAAGCCAGGCACTATTATCTTACTTTGCAGATGAAATAGGCACAGAGACAATAAACAACTTAGCACTAACAGCTACTTAGTTATGGGACTGGTGTTTAAACTACATAGTCGGGATCCCTGGGTGGCGTAGCGGTTTAGCGCCTGCCTTTGGCCCAGGGCGCGATCCTGGAGACCCGGGATCGAATCCCATGTCGGGCTCCCTGCATGGAGCCTGCTTCTCCCTCTGCCTATGTCTCTGCCCCCCCCTCCATGTGTGACTATCATAAATAAATACAAATTAAAAAAAATAAAAATAAAATAAAATTAAACTAAATAGTCTGGGGGCACCTGGGCAGTGCAGTCTGCTGTGCAGCTGACTCCTGGTTCCTACTCAGGTCCTGGTCTCAGGGTGGAGAGATGGAGCCTCTCGTAGGGCTTCATGCTCAGCACAGAGTCTGCTTCCCATTCTCTCTCCCTCTCCTTCTGCAACCCCTGTTCATGCTCTCTCTCCCTCTAAAATACATAAATCTTTTGAAAAACAAAATAAGTCAGGCTCCAGAATTCATATCCATAATAATAACAGAATATTCCCCCTCGGTTTCTACTCTGTTCTCTTAAATTCTAACATCAATCTAATATATGAAGTTTAGACATAGAGTGAGTGCCTGGGATGAAGGCTTGCCCCTCCCCTGCAAAAAAAAAGATATGCCCACACCTTAATCCTTTAAACTGTGGGTGTTCCTGAAAAAATAAAGTGTAGGTGTTCCTTTACGTGGAAAAATAAGCTCCTTAGGTGTAATTAAGCTAAAGACCTTGAGACGAGATCACCCTGGATTATCCGGATGGGCCCTAAACTCACAGGCCAGGGTCGGGGCCCGGGAGGTGGGAAGGCGGAGACAGCCGCAGAGCGCGACCGCCACCAGCGCCGCGTCTGTCCTGCCGCCGCCAGGGGCGCGCGAGGCTGCGGCCGGGCCTGCCCTCGGGGGGGGGGGGGGGAGGGGGGACGCGCAAGCAGGGCCGCGGCCTAGGCCGCCAAGCCTGTCCCCGCGGGGACCACTGCGGCTTGGCGCGGACTCCCCGGGGCACGCAGCACGCAGGCGAGCAGCTGCTGCGAGTGCAGTCGCTAAGTCGCCAGCGCGTCTACTCGAAGATCGGATTTGTATTTTCGACATAATTCCTGAGATCAGATATTCTCGGGTCAAAAGATATCTCAAGTCACGACCTGGGCCTCGATGACGGCACCAAACCCGTGGGCGCGCCTCCACTGTCTGAATGTCTGATGGTTTACCGCATGTTTTTTCTTTTTATTTTTTTTAACCCGTTATTTTTTTTTTTTTTTTTTTTCTGGCCGAATCAAAAGTTTTGCCTAATGCC